CAATGGCTCCAAGCCTCAGTTTTCTCATCTGCAAAATGAATCAGTATTAGTATTGCCCTCCTAGTGTGGTGAGGTTACAGCAGATGTGAACGCAGAGGTCCTGGCACAGTCCGTGCTGTGTGCTTAAGTGCCCAGTTGCCTCTCATTCCTAGTCTTGGAAATGATTACTTCTTCTTGCGGGCCTTCACTGGTCTCTTCTCCTTGACCTCAGATAGCCCCAGTGGACCAGGCATCTGGATCTGGCCATTTCCTGCCTGTGTCCAAGCCCTGCTGTCTCAGCCTGACCATCAGCCGAGGCTTACTGAGCTCCACTCAGGCCCTGGCCCCACCATTCACATGGTAAATTGACAGATTAATACAGTATCTCATGAAAACACCACAGAGATTTCAAAATGAGAGACATAAAGAGTGCTTCCTTTATGAGAGAGCTATGCTTTTTCTTACGGAGGCAAGAGTAGCTTTAACCGTCAGAAAATTTCAGAATGTTTCTTGGAGTCACCAAAGAGTAACAATGCATACTCAGGATGGGGTACAGTGGCTTCAGGGATGGAGGCGGAACCCAGCCCCTCCCCTGCTTCCCAGCCCAGCCCCACATTTGCCTATCCACTGATAAGGTCTCTATGTGAGACTGATTTGAACAAAGGACTCTGACATATACATATAAAAATTTTAATTTCAAATCACTATTTTGGAGCAAGGAGGAATGGTCTTCGGACAAGCCATACATCTTCACATTGAAATTCCAGTCCCTTCAGAAAACTTTTGAGATAAATGATTGAGAATTGGGGTACATGAATGTTAATTGCTCTTTATCTTCAGTGATACCGAGAAGCCTGCACTGGCAACCTGTTTGTGGGGGTGGCCCCTTGCTGAGTGCCCCCAAGAGGAAGACATGACCAAGTCTCTGTCCCCTGAGACCTCCGTGCACCAAGGTCTTTCACCAAATTGGAGGCCCTGTTTTTAAGTTATTGGAATTATTTTCATAGTGGAAGAATGAAAACACTTCATTTGAATAAAAACGTTTTACACCTTGAAAATATCAAAAATATAATTGTCTTGAGTTTTTCATTTCTACTTAGATCTTTTTAGTTGGCTCAATTATTTAAAAGCTGTCTGGCATATTTGTGAGGATAAGGTAATAGAAAAAGGCTATTCTCTGTGACAGAGAACAGCAGCTAGGACCAAGGGCACCTTAAATCCTGGATCCATCTCCTGGTGTAGCTATTTTGAATGAGGTTTGAGGCACAGGAGTTTGTGTCTGACAGAAGAGAGGTCTTTTTGCATTACTCCCTGAGTGGAGCCCAAAGCAATTATCACCAAAGAAAACCATTTTCATCCCACTTCTCCAGGACCAAAGGCTTAAAAATGCATTGGTTTCGGCACCCCGTCACATGTGGCCAATAGCAGTGGATTCCAATTATTCAAGTTCCTCAGGTCTTGAGAAGGGGGAAACTAAGGTGTCATATTCCTCAGCCTTGTGCTGAAAGGCCACCTCTCTTTACTCTCATGTCCCCAAACCCATCTTGGTGGAAAACACCAGATGCTCTACCGAGTGCAAAGTTAATTACCAGTTCCAGTTCTCATGGGAGGCCCTGTTCTAACCCAGTGACAAGAAACCTTCGCTTTACCAACATTAACTCCTCTTTGCAAATAAACGTAGAACCTGAGCATTCCAAGGTGAAAATTATGTTGTCTTTCAAAGCAGTCTCTCCATTCTGCTAGTTGCTTTCGTTCTTGCCAGCTACCAACTTCAGGGGACCCCTTCCTTGGAAGGCATCGTCTGCACATGAGATCTTAGAATAGCAGCCTGCAAATGGGATGGAAGGTCCAGGACTGTCCTGGCCTGGTCTGCTCATTTTGCAGAGACTGAGGTCTTGTCAAGTCCTTGCCCCAGGCTCTTCCACTAGCCACAGGCAGGACAGAGCCTGGCCCCAGGACTCTAATTTCCCAGGGAGGTTCTTCCTCCCCATTCTTGCATTAGTTACCAAAAGTATCTCCCTTTTTTCAATGTGTGCCTGGGGACTCCAAATGTCACCACAGACATTCAGTTCCTTTCCTCTCTTCCCACCTCCCTCCATCTGCCTGGTAAATCAGTTTCTGGGAGGAGTAACTAATGGGGTTTACTATGTAAACACTCCCAGGCATTTAATACAGGTAAAGCTCTAGAGCTAAAAGAAAGGCATTGATCTGGCAGAATTGCAGGCATTGAGAAGGAAGTGGGACGAGGCATAGGGAAGAAATGGCACCCCCATCAGGTCCCTGGAACTTGCATCACCTAAGGCTCTCCCTGTTCTTCATGGCTGATTGTGCCTTTAAGGGCACTGAAATGCACATGAAATTGCCAACTATTGCTTTATTTGCTTTCCTGAAGATCAGGAAACTTAAGCCCAGAGAGGGTAAGTGACCATCCCACAGAACACTCAGCCTGCAGGTGCTGGAGCAGGGACTCAAACCAGGACCTGTCACCTTTCCACGCTGCCTCCTCAAGTGGGCATTATAGATCTGTTCACATGCAACAGCTCTTGCTGCTGCTGGTAGCAGGCCTGCTTTGTAATCCAGGGTGGGTTTTGCCCTCCTCATCCCCCCACCAGCTCTGATGTCATCTGATTCCTTTGCTGCAAATGCAAATAAGTCTGGTCTCAGGATGTGCCCTCATGCAATTAGCAGAAACCAGATTACACTAAAATGTTGGGATGACTGCTTGGTGCCTAGAGCTCCCTGAGGAGCTGCTGATGGCAGCACCTCCATCCTTGGGATTGCCTCCAGATCTTCCAGGCACACAGGCTGTGACAGGGCCCCTGCCCAGCTATCAGCTGCCATCACCACCACCCCCATGCCAGCTGCTCAAATCCGAGGACCTCTGCCACCTCCTCCTGCAACCAACCTAGGTGCATTGGAACATGCATCCCACCTTTATAGTATACAGAACATATAGTATACAGAAGCAAGGGAATCGTAGCTTCTGGACTGCAGCAGGGCCTCTGACAGGGTCTTTTACATGTACACAAATCAGATGAGAATGGGTTTCTTATGAGTATAAGGGGATAATTCAATCTGATGGTTTGGAAAATAAAGAGCCATGCCTACGGTGCAGCCATATGGATTAGAGCAATGTCTCCAGTGGCATGCCACAAGGCTCAGTCCTCAGCTGTCCTATTAATTTCTTTTTCATCTGTGCCATATAGGAAAATACAGGGCAGCTTCATGGAGTGGATGACAGCAAGTTTTGAAATGGTAAAGTGTATGTGGTTGGCATACAGTAAAGAGTTAATAAATGGCATGAGGTTTGTGTACTGTGTTTGCGAGTAGGATGGTGTTGAAAGGAAAGGTGAGTGTATTCTCTGCATATCAAGTCTTCTAAAACATTGAGTGATTCTGATCAAGGGGAAGGTCCAATACTTAATTCCAAAAAAGTAATTGCACATGCACAAGCCAGGGTCCTCTGGCTGGCAGCAGCCTGTGTTAGAGGACTGCTTTGGGTTTTTGCTGATAGTAGCTGGTGACCATCAAAAACACAAAAAGTAGCAAAGTCTTCCCAGCATGGGCTCCAGTCACAGCAGGGTAGCCTCAGTCTCTCTGCCCAGTCAAGCAAGACCCCAGGAACTTGCTCATGGGAGAAGGACCGTGACAAGGAAGAGACTTGACCCCAAGGAGCAATGGCTGGGTGAGCTGGGGGTTTCTGGCCTGGAAAGCCAGATGCCACACAGGTCCCTGTCAGTCATTAAAGGTAGGAGATGAAGCTATCAGACTCCCTGTGGTTCCAGCAGAAAACATAGCTTCAATATAGGGAGGTTGAGGGATGGAAGAATCTACGGGCAGGTGGGGCAGCCAAAGGATGGCCCAGACAGACTGGGTGGTGGGAGCCAGCTCCCTGCTGCTGAAGAAGGCAGGGAGGAATCTGTAGAAGAGGGGAAGCAGCAGCCCGGCCACTGTGATTCAAGGACTCTGACTTCTAATCAATCACCAGGGAGAGTCTGAAGCTTTTCCCTGGCGTTAATTCTTGCCTCCTTGTTAAGAAGGCTGATTAGGTTGGAACAGGTCACGTGATAGAATTAATTTGTCTTGCCTGGGCTCCTCAAGACTCATAGACTGAAGTGCAAATCCCTAGAGGCCAGTGCCTGGCTGGCTTTTAATCAGGCTGATCAGCCTTCAGCCCCAGGAGGTTTAAAAGAAAGGAAAATATTCCCAAACATATTTCCTAGTCTTATTCCAGGCAATTCAACCAGACTTTGCTGCTGCAACTGGTGCTCATATGGAATTGAGGGCACCTGTCCTTTCTGGGCTCACATTTTCCACAACGGATTGCACAGGGGAGGCACCACCCCTTACCTCTGCTTAGAAGGAGAGAGAGCCTAGAGTTTGGCGAAAGGGACTATGGGAAATGGAGTCTCATTTGAAAGCACTGTGCAAATTATTTGAACTGTGTACAGAGGCCAGGTCAGTTCTATACAGTATTCCAGGGACTTTGTGTTAACCAGTGGGTTCCCAGAAAGGCTGTCAGACAAGCCCACAAGATACTACCCAGGCAGTGTGGTTGCAGCATGTGCAGTGAGAAGGGAGGATCAGGAAGGCCCTAAAGAGCAGTTATTCAATTTGCCCTCAGAAGATGAAATTCAGTAGGCAGAGAAGTGTTGGAACCTAAATCCTTGTTCTAGAATCATTTTGTGGAAGCAGCTACTTTGGCTTGAGATGGCCCCGGGACACCCTCCATCCCCCGCCTAGTGCTTTGATGAGGGCTGGGCCAGCATGTGCTGCCACTTCCCCATCCCTTCACCTAACCCTGGACGGTAGCTACCTTCCTTGCTATAAAGGAAAGGCCACATTTATCCCAAAAGCCAGGATCTGCAGGAGGTGAACAGAAGTGGGGAGCCCCTGGGATGAGGATCTGTGAGGGTGACTTTCCCTATTTAACAGGACATCTGACCATCTCACTCCTGGCTGTATCCAGGAGGTAGATGGGCTTGAAATCAATTCTGCTTGCTCCATATCTGATTTCCTAGAGCCCACTTGCCATGTGAGGAGACATCTTCTGTGCTGCAGCCAGGGATCACTATGGAAACCAGAGGACTGGCTGACTCAGGGCAAGGCTCCTTCACCAACCAGGGGCTCACCAGGTAACTGACCAGACTCAATACCCACCTTGGCATGGGGGACGCTTCAGCAGAAAGAAGGTAGCGACCTCTCAGGAAGAAGTGCTAGGTGGGGGTGGAGCTGAAGATTTGGAAATCAAAGAGTCAGGAGCAGAGCAGCCCGCAATCTATCAGTGAGTAATTTCCTCTTGGGTCAGATGTTCTGAGCTCAGAAAAGTCTAAGAAAAACTACCTTTATCTGAAATTGCTTAATAAAAACTGACATTGAAGTACTTGCTCAGTTTTAGAAGAATTCAGGAAAAAAAGCCAACCAGAGAAGGTGTTAAGAAAAGCCAGCTGTGGGAGACCTTTGATTGGGTGGACACAGTGGTGTGCTGAAGGTGATGAGGGTGAGGTCTGAAATAGCTCTTGCAGGGTCTCACAGGTGCGCGTCTGAACCCTAGGCAGGTTTCCTTGCAAAAGCATTTGTTTGCAAGATTAGTGTGACTCCAAGCTCTGCCTCCCTCTGATGACAACCGTACTCCAGCTTCAACCGCTACCCCATCTTGAGGAGGTCATTTCACCTTTTCAAGTCTTATCTAGAAATGCATCTAACAATGGCTACCCTACAGGTGGCTTGAAAGCTGCATCAGACCCAAGCCACGACTCATGGCAGGTGCTCGGCAAACACCAGTCTCATTATTTCTTTCCACCACATTGTTTTTTCCAATGCCAGAGTTTTATGTAGTCATATATTCTACACTTCATACTTAAGGTTATTGCAAAAGAAATTCACTTGTCTACTTATTCTTCATGGTTTTCATTATGAAGGATGCTACTCCATCATTGTTTATTTAACTAGTTCATTGCAGCTGGGCATTTAAGTGATGTTCAGTGTTTTTGTTTTACCAATAAAATGCTGTCTTAAGGTTCTTTGTCATAAGAAAGAAAGAGACAACTTTAAATCAGTTGAGTAGGGCTGGTATAGGAAGCTAGCAACACAAGCTATCTCAGGCAAACAGAGCCAGCAGAGCTCAAGGGAGGGGACCTGGGGAGGCAGCCGCCTTTCCCCTCCCATTTTTCTCATGGATTTTTGTGGTCTTTGTGCTTCTTTCTGCATGTCCCCTCCATTCTGGCTCTCTCTGTTCCCATCAGGCTGAAAACAGCCTTCGCCATGTGACCTTGAGTTGAAGCACCCAACCCCATCTTGGAGTGGCTCTCAGTGCAGAGGCTGGAGTGGCTGTCTGCATCACTTGTCTGTCCTAGTCCTGTTGTCTGAGGCTGGAGGAGGGAGTATGACCTCAGTTGCATCCTCTCGGCAGAGGAAGGGTGTGGGTAAAGGAAGTGTCTGCAGCAGAGAGGCTGGGCTGGGCAGATACCTCGGAGTATGTCTGTGGCAGCAGCTGTAAGCATCTGTCTACAGGGGCATTTTCTTAGTTAATGTATTCCCTTAGGCTAAGGTCGTAAGTGTGCAATTAGGGTCAAGGTATGTGACAATTCATGGCTTAGTTCCAGGTTGTTCAGTACAGACACTGGCCAGGGACACTCCATCCAGGGGAGGGTCCTGCAGATGCCAAATCAGGGAAACCAGAAGCCAAGAAACACAGTGGAGCCTCTGGGCCTGTTCCCCGCTGCTCCCCTCTTGCAGAGACACCAGCGGTGTCTTCACCAGGTTGAAGGAAACGCCCCTCACGGGCCAGCGCAGGCTCAGATGCGCTCTGGGGACTGGCACTATGGTCGCAGGTGCTGGAGCTCATGACAAGGTCCTGGCAGGGCCAGGCTCCGGGAGAGGGCTCAGGGCAAGTTGCAAAGGAACCTCCCAGGCCTGGGGAGAAAACTCTAGTTTGTATAAGAAAACGTGAATAAGATAAAAACTGGGAAAAGACTCCAGGTTGTACCTGGATGCCTGTTCCTTAAAGCCTTGCTCTATCAGATCTCAGGGGCTTTAAAATAAATAAACAAACAAATAAATAAATTGAAAACTTTCTCTGGATGTTGTCATGGTATAAAACCCACATTGCTTTACTCTCCCTGTACTTAGCTGTCATAACAAAGAGCTCTCCATTGGGCAAAAGGATTGAGCTAACCCCTGTTTGAAGGATCGTGCCTTAGGCAGTGTCCAAGCGCTACAAGGGCAAATCTTAATAAAGAGAGTGTCCCTTTGGGGGGATGCACTGCCCCTGACTTCGGGGTGGAGGGAGAAGGGGATAAATGGTCTCCATGGAGCCGAGATGCAAACTTAGACCACAGGCTCCCAGTACCCACGCCCTGCTGGCAGTCACTGCTTCTGCCAGGCCCCACCAGACAGAGAGTCGGGGGAGGGAGAGAGAGGGAAAGAGTGGGAGGTAGGAGTGGGGAGCTTTTCCTCTCCTTCTGGCTCAGTGCCTGTGTCGCCTTCCAGGTTGTCGCGCCTCATCTTTTCGCTGCACAGGTGGGCCGCCAGGCACGTGCCCCACCAGGAACAGGGACTGGCCTCTTTTCCGGATCGTTTTCATGGAGCTGAGCTTAAGGAGGTGTCTAGCCAAGAAAGCAATGCCCAGGCAACTGTGGACGTCCAGGAGGCAGAAGACAGAGGGAGAAGGTAAGGAACAGGAAAAAAGAAGGGCCTCCTGCCCGCTGGGGCTGGGCAGGAAGCCTCTGCTTTGCTGGGTCCTGTTTGGTTGCAGCACAGGTGACCTGGAACCTCATCCCCGTGTGCTGTTCATTGAAGAAAGTGTTTGCCCTTGGGGTAGCACTTTATGCTCTAACAGCCTCCACTGAGTCCGAGAGACCTTGCAGAAGAGGAAACCCTTGAACCAGAGCCCCCAGCCTCATTTGGCCGCTGACCTCATCCTACACAGAGCTCTCATTAGGGTCCCCTGTAAATCATGTTCTCAGAAACTCATCTGGGGATGCCGGCCTTACCCATCTCTCTTCATCAAAGGACCTTCATCCTAGACTGCACTGTGACCCATCTTGCTCAGAAACAGGGCCTTTTATAGCAGGTTCCCTGGGGAGTGCCTAAATGGTACCCTCAATGTTATGTGTAGACACACATGCATTCTTCTGGGAAGAGAGTCCACAGGCTGGTCAGAGTTTTCAAGGGGAGCTATTGGCGTCCCAGATCAGGTTGAGAAACACCAGGTGGGGAAGGGCGCAATGGTGGGAGTAGAGTGAGGGGTGGGAGAATGCTGGCTTTCTGGAGGGAAGATCTGCAGAACCTGGGCCTTTGTACATCTTCTTGCGTCACTCCCACCCTAACTGGGAGTTAAACCTGCAGTCAGACTGGCACCCCCTTACACACAGACACAGGGCTGCTTCCTCCCCTTCTGTCTTGTTCATGAAAAGTCTCCCCAGCAGGTGGTCTGCAGAGAGACCCTTGGGCCAGTACAGGTTGAATCAATTGTCACTGAGCATAGAGGGTCTCTTTAGGACAGTGAGGTCTGTCTGGAAGAGAGGAGAGGTGAGACATGGAGGGGAAGCAGACCTCCCCTCAGCCTCTGAAACAGGTGGATTCTCACCCAGAAACTATTTTCTGAGAGGGGAGAAGGGGGTGGTCAAAAAACTCTTTTTTGGCTGAGTCTTCCAGATAATGCTGAGATTTATAAGATGTAAAGATGGAAATAAGCATGATTATTGCAGAACAGACACTTCCTACATAATTTGCTAGAGAAAAAACCATCTGCTTTTATGTCAATGAGAAGATGGGTTCAGGTTTGAGGCTTTTAAATGGGCATATGAGGGTCCCTGGGGCGTGAAGGTGATGAAGTCTCGGGGAAAACCAGTGGCTCTTTCTGGAGTATACGTTTTAATTCCATATTTGTGTGGAGAGTGGCAGTGGGTATTTGTATGTCATAGATTATGCAGGGGATGGCAAACTGCATAATCTTTTTTTTTTTTTTTTTTTTTTTGAGACGGAGTTTCGCTCTTGTTACCCAGGCTGGAGTGCAATGGCACGACCTCGGCTCACCGCAACCTCCGCCTCCTGGGTTCAGGCAATTCTCCTGCCTCAGCCTCCTGAGTAGCTGGGATTACAGGCACGCGCCACCATGCCCAGCTAATTTTTTATATTTTTAGTAGAGACAGGGTTTCACCATGTTGACCGGGATGGTCTCGATATCTTGACCTCATGATCCACCCGCCTCGGCCTCCCAAAGTGCATAATCATTTTTAAGTAAAATATGAGAGCTCAAGGACATGTCTTGCCAGTGACTGCTTTAGGACACCCAGGGAAAGGCGTGAGAATCCCTGGCTGAGCTGGCAAGGCCAGAGTTTTCACATGCCTCGGACCGCGAACCCTTGGGTTTCCCGCGCTGTGGGAAGGAGGCTGGGAAGGGCCTGGGCGTTGGCCCAGAGAAATGCAGGGACGTCCTGGGCTCCCAGGGCTAGGCATCCAGTCCCCTCGGGGAGCACGATGAGACAGAAAGACAAGGAGGCAGACAGGTAAGAAAGAGGCCAAAGTGGAGATGGAGGGGGTAGGGGGAAGAGGTTTCTCAGCAAGCCAGCCTGACTGGTTTAATTCCTTCTGGCAAGCAAAAACTTCCTTATTTAAATTGACCAAATTACCTTCTTACATCCTTAGAGATGAATGTTAGACTATCTGTCCATTTCCCAATGGGACCAGACAAACGGGGGAGTTGAGCTAGGACCACATCCAGGGCAGACCCCAACCACCCCACAGACACCTGATCCATCACTCGCAGGCAGAGTCAGGATGGGCAGACAGTTGGTGGTGTGGACGGTGTCAGTGAATCAGCAAAGCTTCCAGAGGGTGAGGATTTTGAATTTTTCTGGAGGCAAAGTCTCCACTGCAAAGCCAAGTGTTTACAGAAACAGGTCCTAGTTCTCCTGTGTGGGTTTGGCTTTGTGGGGTTAAGGGCACAGAGGCATGGTGAACACAGCCACTGCACCCCACGGAGCCGAATCTTCCCTTCTTCACAATCCCACAGCAGTTCCAGTTCCTGGGAGATTTTCAGATGAGCAGAACCAATCCAGAAATAAGTGGTTATGGCCATATATTAGATGGGGAGAGGGAGATTTGGGCAGGATGAGCTGAGGTCATCATTTGGGGTTTATTTGGCTGGACATCCAGCATCGTGGAGGAAGCACCCTGGGAGTCAGGTGGGGTGTCACCTGCCTCAGGCTCCGGTCCCCATGATCTCCTGTGAGGAGTCTGCTTCTTAACCCAGCCATGTGAGGTGCCCTGCGAGGCTACCTGGCTTTCTTAACCCAGCCATGCCGAAAGTATGTTCTGGCAGACAGAGGTACTACCTTTTCCTATAGAACACCGTGAAGTACTGCAAAATGCAACTCTAAAGAAACTGAAAACAGCAACAATCCTGCCTATGCTCAATTACTTGTCCTGCTATTTGGAAGAGCCTTTGCAGCTGAGGGAGCAAGTCGCTGCTGCTGCGGCTGCGGCTTCGGGCTGCTTCCATCCCTGGGCAGAAGGTGCAAGACCTCCTCCACCCAAGAGGCCTGGAAGTGCTGAGGGCAGAGGCCACAGGGGTCCATTTCTGTGCCCTTCTTAGTGCCTGGCATGTGGCCCCACCAGGGTGGGACAGAAGGAAATTGAGTGGAATGTGAGACAGGGAAGCTGGAAGGGAGTCAAATGGCTGAATCTTCATTTTTTCAAAAGCCTCAGTTTAGCTATGGGTTCACCCTCTCTTCCCCCAAGGCTTTTACCCAAGCTAACTAATCACAAAGCATTTTGGCCCTGACAATACCACCCGATATTCTTCAAGCTGTGAGTGCAAAGGCTGGGAGCAGTGGGATGGGGGGTGGGGCATGGTAATCCCCTGGGGAAATGGCCCCAAGGAATGGAATCTGAGTCCTGACCCTTGCTGTTCTCTCTACCTCCCTGCAGGGCCTGGCCCCTGGCCAAACACAACACTAACACCAGCAACAACAAGGAGGAGGAGTAAGTACTAGCCCAGCAAAGCCCTCCCCAGGCTCAGTGCCCCTCCACCCCATAGAAGCCCAGCTTGGCCTCTCTCCCGAGTGCTCCTGCTCCCCCTCCCGGAACACCAGTAGAATATTTTAGAATCCTGTTCCCTTCATTGTAAATCCATACAAAGTCTGTATGATTTCTTAGGGAAGTTGTTTGATCTATTTGGCTCTATTTTTCTCATCTATGAAGCAATGGAATTGGATCAGATAAATGCTTTAAGCTTCAGCACTCTATACCACGAAATATCTGAGGGTGCAGAACCAGAGCTACTTGACAGAGCAGTGGAGATTCTCCTTAATGATGCAAAGGCATTTTTAATTCTACAACCTTAGGCTCTTGTGTCCCAGTGAAATGCCCTTGTCTTAAGGCCAATTTGGGGGCATAAACAGAGCAGTGGGAAAAGGCAATTTAAATATGTCCAGAGAATAGCCTCTTGAGAGGGTGACCTGCTATAATTCCTTTACATCACCAGGTGGCAGATCAGGGAGAGCGTGGCACTATAGGGAAGGGGGAGGCTTACTTGGAGATTAGGAGAAAATACTGATGTCAGCGAGAAACGCCGATTTCTTGATTTCCGATTGACAGAGAAGTGTGCCAGGGGTTTTTCTTGTTATTTCTCTTTTTGTTCCTCAGATATAACTTTTTTCTATTTCTCTCCATGAAGGAAGCATGTCTTTTGTTTGCATAAATTTGGACATCAAATCCAGAGACCCAAATGCCAGCCATAAGAAAAATGAGATGATTTTATCTACACAGCAATAGCTAAAGTGATGTCTGTTCAACTTATAGCCAAACCTGACACTACAGACCCTTGCAGCCTCAGTATCAAGTCTTTCAGGCAGGGAAAGGCTCCAGCTACTGAAACCACGGACAGGTCCTGGGGGTTTCTAGGTGTCCTTGTCCTGGGGCTGGGGTGTGGGCAAGGATGTGGGTGGGCAGCATTGGCTGCACCTGGCTCTTCAATCTTTCCATAAATGGGCTCACTTCACGGGTCCACTCTGACGCCAAGAGCCAAGGGACAAACTGGGAACTGTCCCAAAATAAGGACACCTAGCCACAGGAAAGTAGTTATTTATGAACACCTTCCCCCTCTCTTCCACTCCATTTCTATCATTTTCACTTGCTCTCATTGGTCCTGAATAATTTTTCCTTCCTCCATCGAACTGTTCCCATCCAAAACCAGCATCATTTTGCAGCTCTGTGTAGGGTTCTTTTGGGGCAGTGCTGGGTGGATTCCGGGATGCAGCCAGATGGTGCTGGGTCTTTCCTAGGCCCTCAGTGGTTTGGTAGCCAGAGGAAAGGCCAAGGCCTGTAATCCAGGGCCGCATATCTTGCACAAGGCAAGCTGAGCCCAGTGTGATTAAACTGCAGGGCAAAGCTGACCTAATAAGCTTGAGGGCAGAGCCCTCTGCTGGTGTCTTGACATTAAGACGCCAGTGGCTGAAAACAGACCAGAGAGTTCCTGTCACCCTGGAGGACAGAGGAGGGGTAACTTTCCTTGCTCATTTCATTTAATGGTTTTAATAACCTTTTATTCCTATTCACTTTATTGAAATACGCTTGCTGAAAACTTGGAAAGCAGGAAAAGCACACAGGAGCATACACACACAAAAATTGCACTTCATGCAATTCCACTATCAGAGATAGCCCCTCTTAACATGTGGCAAATACACTTCCATCTTCTTCCTGGGCATATATATTGAATACATAAACTGAAAATATATTTTATATGTACATATACTTGTTAAGAACATCTGTTTCCCAACTCCGTTACCTTAGAGCTTTGTGACCTTGGCCAAGTCTGTTAGTCCATTCTCACATTGCTATAAAGAAATGCCTGGGACACAGTAATTCAAAAGAAATGTGGTTTAATTGACTTGAGGCTCTGCAAGCTGTACAGGAAGCACAGCACCTTCTGCTTCCAGTGAGGCTTCAGGAAGCTTCCAATCAAGGAGGAAGGCAAAGAGGGAGCAAGACGTCTCACATGGGGCAGCAGGAGGAAGGTGGGGTAAATGTCCCCCCGAGTCATCCAGCAACAAGGCAGAAAAGAAGGAAGAGAAAAAAGAAGAGAGAAAAAATTACCTAAAACAAGAGGAGGAAGTACCGACGGGGTGCCATGGTCCCAGAAGGCCTGACCCCTCCCTGCAGGGGTACAGGACTGGATATCTTGGAGCAATGCTCTCAGGGGGCCTTAGCGTCAGCCCTGGAGGGGACGGGGTGCTTGGAGCTGAGGAAAAGTCAGTCCCAGGCTGGAGACCATGCCTCCTGAGACCATGTGGAGCCCCCATCTTGCAGAATGAATCCTCTTTGAGTTCTGGGAACGCAAGGGGTGCTCACAAGTAAAGACAGTTGCTTGTCTGCAGGTGGGCAGTGGGGGCTGTCCCTGCGAACCCACTCATGTGCCCCCCAACTGAAGCATTTTGTTTGCCCTTGCAAGTGGGCCACACAGTCACGGTAGGGTGAGGGCTTCTCTGGGGCACTGGAAGGTACAGTGTTCACAAACTTTCACCCGAATTCAGGGTGATGAAAGCTATCAGGAACGTCCCAAAGCCCAGTCAGTGAGCGACCTTGCATTTGCAGCTGGAGTCCAGTAGCATGATCTCAGCACACTGCAACCTCCGCCTCCCAGGTTCAAGCAATTCTTCTGCCTCAGCTGCCCGAGTAGGATGAACCACAACGCCCGGCTACATTTTGTTGTGGTGGTTGTTGTTTTTGGTATTTTTAGTAGAGATGGGGTTTCACCATGTTGGCCAGACTGTTCTTGAACTCCTGGCCTCAAATGATCCACCCACCTTGGCCTCCCGAAGTGCTGGGATCACAGGCCACCATGCCTGGTCACTGATACCCTTCTAATAAGCAGAAGAGGGATTAAGGGCCTCTCCTAGGAAACCTCCTGTTTGTGAATGTGGGGGGAGGTGCTGCTCCTCCCAGGTGAAGGGAGGAAGTCACTGGGGTCTCAGATGAGGCACAGGAGCACTCTGAAGGCCTGGGCCAGTGTGGATCACACAGGATGGCAGAGAGGACATGTGGACCCAATGAAAAGAAAGTCTCCAGTACAGCCTGTAAACTTGAATCTGCAGGACATTCTGCAAATAAAAGCTGAGCACTATAAGCAAAGTATTTCATTCACTGTGGGCCCTTATAACGTAGGTTATTCCCAAGGTTTGCTGGAGGGACGGGATCCAAGCCCTTGGAAATGAGCCTTTACAACATCCGCACAAATGTAGTGAGGGAGGTGGGCAGGGTTCCCGAAGGAATACTGTGGGGCACCCTAACTCTGTCCAGAGAAGAGCTGCCTCAGAACTACCCAGGCAATGCTTAAATGCACATTTCCATGCCGCAGCCCTGGAAGAGGAGTGGGCTCTGGGAATCAGCATTTTCTGAAAGCTCCCCCAGACTTCAGCAGACCTCTGTGACATTGCCATCTGCGTTTTCATTTTCAGCATCCTAAAGGGTGTGGATGTTGCCATGGGCACATGGGATTGTCATCACCATGACCTTACTTATGTATTTATTTTTCTTGAGTTGGAGTCTCACTCTGTCACCCAGGCTGGAATGCAGTGGCGTGATCTCAGCTCACTGCAACCTCCACCTCCTGGGTTCAAGCGATTCTCCTGCCTCAGCCTTCTGAGTAGCTGGGACTACAGGCGCCTGCCACCACACCCAGCTAATTTTTGTATTTTTAGTAGAGATGGGGTTTCACCATGTTTCCAGGATACTCTTGATCTCCTGACCTCGTGATCCACCCATCTCAGCCTCCCAAAGTGCTGGGATTACAGGTGTGAGCCACTGCGCCCAGTTGTCATCATCCTGACCTTATAGTCGACCATGACTTCCTGAAACTGAGCTGAGAGAGAAAGACCTCTGGAGTCTACCCTACCTCCCAGCCTGTCTTCCCCTACAGGGACTCCTCATGTGACTCCCTTGAGACTAAGAGGACTCTGTCATGGACAGCCACATCTTGGGCTTCAGCCTAAAATTGCCCTTGGGTCTCTAAGCAAATCCAGATCTCTAAAACCCTCCAAAGCTGCAGTCTCGGAGCACAGTGCACTGTTCGTGTCTGTGTGTTTCCAGGAAGAAGAAGGAGAAGAAGGACGGTTTCGTGATGGACCCCTCCAGCAACCTGTACTACCGCTGGCTGACCGCCATTGCCCTGCCTGTCTTCTATAACTGGTGTCTGCTTATTTGCAGGTAAGCAACAGGGGTGGGAGGTGCGGCAGAAAGGAGGGAACCAAAGCACCAGGCCAAGGAGGCAGAGCTCCAACTCTCGCTCGAGAGGCCTGAGGCCTGGGCCCCTCACGGCCACCATTTAGCTCTTATGCCTCAGTTTCTCCTTTTGGGAGAATAAAAGGTTTCCCAACAGGACCATCAGGGTGCTCCAAAGCATGGGTGAGAACTGAGCTTCAGGTAGACAGCCAGGCTCTGGCACTGTGGGGCCCCCTCAAGTGAATGGTACAAGGAGGATGTGGGGCAGTTGCTGCTCTTCGGAGGCATAGGTGGGCGGTTCTGAACATGCTGCAGGGTAGGGAGGCAGGGCTGAGCTGCTACTCTTTTTTTTTTTTTTGAGATGGGGTCTCACTCTGTTGCCCAGGCTGGAGTCCAGTGGTGCAATCTCAGCTTACTGCAACCTCTGCCTCCCAGGTTCAAGCAGTTCTCCTGCCTCAGCCTCATGAGTAGCTGGGACTACAGGGATAAGCCACAACGCCAGTTAATTTTTTTTTGTATTTTTAGTAGAGACAAGTTTTCACCATCTTGGCCAGGCTGGCCTTGAACTCCTGATCTCAAATGATCCACCCACCTCAGACTCCCAAAGTGCTGGCCGCACCCAGCTGCTGCTACTCTTCTAATAAACAGAAGAGGGATTGAGGGCCTTTCCTAGGAAACCTGCTGTTTGTGAACACAGAGAGGAGATGCTGCTCCTCTCAGGGGAAGCCAGGGGCCTGGGCTTTTCTGAGCATGCCTCCAGGGTTGGGATACCAGAGGGAATGTTGCTGAGCACGCTGCTCACCAAGGACACAAGGAGCTGCTGCTAGGGGGCCAGGGGGGCGGGGCAGGCAGTGACTTTGGGGCATTTCTGAGGAAGCCTGCAGGCTGCAAGCTGCAGAGCGGGAGGCGGGATGACCTGCTGCTCTCTCTAGGTAAGCAAAGGGTTTGGGGGGACCTTCCCAGCAGGCCCGCTCCAGGACACCGAAGCAAGGTAGGCTGCTGCTGCTCTTCTGAGGGTACACAGGAGGGCTTACGGGACTTCCCAAGCAAGTGTGCAGAACCGGTGTGCAGAGGCAGGTCTTGGCTCTTCTGAGCTGTGTGAGGCCAGATGCATGCGAGAAGAGACGAAGCCTTTGGAGCTCTCCTGAGCCAGCACACAAAATGAGGATGCGGAGGCGAGATGTGCCTGTCATTCTGAGAGTGGGCAGTGGGTTTTGGGGTGCTCCTGAGCAAGTCTGCAAGACAGAGAGCCACTGTTCTAAGAGGCTATTTGGTGAGTTTGGGCATTCCAGATCATGCAGCACATCAGGAATGCCTTCGATGTGGAAGCAGAGGCTTTCGATTATCTGAGCAGTGATCTCCCACCCTTTGGAGGGCTTGTAGGGTAGGTGAAAAGTGGAAGAACTTGCAGCATGTCCTAGTTAGCAGGCAGGATGGGGTGCTTGGGCAAGCTGCTGCTCTCTGATGCACGCGGGCACTGTTCTCCTCCTCCAGATGGCAGGACACTTTGGGGTGCTGAGCAAGCTGCAGGTGGGTGGCAGAGACAGGCTGCTGGGCCCGTGAGGGTAGAAGGAGAGCTGGAGGTGCTGCCTGTGTGGGAAACAGCAGAAAGATCGAGAAGGTGGAAAATATTTACTGTCTGTTCCATTGTTAATTTCTCTGAAATTCTCCTATTTTTGTAGAAATTTGACCCCAGAAAAGGCAAGTCCTTAGCCTCTTTACCTGACTCTGCCAGTAAGGCCTGGAAAACAGTACCTCCTGGGATCTTGTAGCTCTCTGCTGAGAGGCGATGGAGCCGCGCTTTGGGGTCAGTTCCAGCTCTTCTCGGGAGCTCTGTGACTGTGGGACAGAAAAGCTTCTCAGAGACAGTGTTGCCTCATCAGAAGCTGGGGTGATTACAGTGAGGTAGGGACACCGCAGGCAGGCAGGGCCATTCCCGGATTACGTGACCCACGACTTCATCACAGAGCCGGTGCCCACACGTGGGCAGTCCGTGCTCTGGACACACATACAGGCGTCCATCTCCCACTTGGCTTGTTTAGGGCCTGTTTTGATGAGCTGCAGTCTGAATACCTGATGCTGTGGCTGGTCCTGGACTACTCGGCAGATGTCCTGTATGTCTTGGATATGTTCGTGCGAGCTCGGACAGGTGGGTGTGTCCTGGGCCTGGGGAGGGAACCATGGTGCCCAGAAGAGTGTTCTGAGAGACCCAGCACAGTACATGGGACATTATCTACCTTTGACTGTGAGAGGCCAGGCAGATCTGGGAACCGCCAACCATTAGGGTAGGTGGTGCTGCCTCAAGCCCCTCTACACGGAACCCTTGGACAGGACACTGAGCAGGGACCAAGACACCTAAGCTCTGGGCTCTGCTCTTCCAACAAGCTGTGTGACCTTGAGCAAGTCAGGCTGTCTCTTTGGGCCTCGTTTTTGTCGCCTCTGAAGTACACAGGCTGGGCCTGGCGTGGTGGCTCACACTTTGGGAGGCCGAGACAGACAGTTCATTGGATGTCAGGAGTTCACGACCAGCCTGGCCAACATGGTGAAACCCCATCTCTACCAAAAATACAAAAATAAGCTGAGGCCAGTGGCATGTGCCTGTAATCCCAGCTACTTGAGAGGCTGAGGCAGGAGAATTGCTTGAACCCCAGGAGGTGGAGGTTGCAGTGAGCCAAGATCATGCCACTGAACGCCAACCTGGGTGGCAGAGCGAGAGGCTGAACCGCAATCTCAAAGGACCTCTGTCGCTCTCACTACTCAGTACTGGGGTGAGCAGGAAGGAGAGGCATCTTGGAGTTTCTCTTCTTGGGCAGTCAGAGGATCCAGGACATGTTACTCCATGGCTTTCAGAGGAATTTTAACATGTGAAGAAGGAACATCTGAAACAGGGCTCAGGTGAATGAGAACGTCCTTCAAATCACCTCTGGTTGGGAATGGGGAAGGATACCCACCCACCCATTTCTTAGGTGCTGAACTGTGTGTCCTTGGGACACCTTTTTCTAATCTGCACAAAGATATTGCCTAAGCTGGTAGGTGCCCTGCTTTTTGCCTCCAAGATTTTTGAACTAAAAACTGTGCCAGACAGTTTTTACATGTGGGTGCAAACATATGTAATCCCAGCACTTTGGGAGGCCAAGACAGAAGGGTTGTTTGAGTTCAGGAATTCCAGATTAGCCAGCACAACACAGCAAGATCTTGTATCTACAAAAAATATATATAAATAAATAGCTGGGCATGCCATGTGTGCCTATAGTTCTAGCTACTCAGGAGGCTGAGGTGGGAGGATTGCTTGAGCTCAGGAGGTCAAGACTGCAGGGAGTCATAGCCTGAGGTAACAGAGCGAGACCTTGTCTCAAAAAACAATAGTAAAATAAAATAATTCTATGCCATAGCAGCTGATGTAAACACCACCAGATGAGACCATATACAAAGCATTTCAAGCACATCTTGCTTCTTCATTAGAATCACTGCATGAGATGAGAAGTGCAGGCATGATTCCCTCCAGCTTGCTGATTTAGAAACCAACGTCAGACACACCAAGTGATTTGCCACGGTTACTACTCAGCCATGCCAGGCTGGTCCCCCATTTGCTTCTACACTGATGCCTAGCATTATAACTTAGAAGACCTCAGATACACAGCCTGAGGCTTGCCCGGCTGACCTAGCCAGCCCTGGCCATCTGCCCCTTTGCTGCAGTCATGTTAAACTCCATAGACACATGAGCTCTGTAGGTGGCCCATTGGGCTGACGGTCCCTCATCTCAACCTAGCTTCAGTGGGATGAGACACCCTCACTCTCATCATCAGACGTTAACCCCCTACCTCTTGTGAAGCAGGGAAGGCTGCGAAACAAACCTCTCAAAAACCAAACTGGGAAGGAAGTGGTGATTTATTTGGCCGGGAGCTGCGGCAGCATAGATGCCTAACAGCTGAGCTCCCCAACAAGAAAATCCTTGCCCTTTTGAAGGCTTACAACTCTAGAATTACATGTGAAAGGGTCCTGGGCTTACAACTCTAGAATTACATGTGAAAGGGTCCTGGGCTTACAACTCTAGAATTACATGTGAAAGGGTTCTGGGCTTACAACTCTAGAATTACATGTGAAAGGGTCCTGGGCTTACAACTCTAGAATTACATGTGAAAGGGTCTTGATCCATGAAGTAGGCGTGGTGTACGTGACTTAGGTGGAGGTCTAATCGTGCGTGAGTAAAAACAATGACTTCCGGAAAGATTCCTCTATGCCGTATCCATGATCTATAGATGGGATTGCGGTTAGCAGTAGTGGAATTATCCTTAACCTGGCTGGCGGTGCCAACCGGTCCCTCCTCTGACTGACTTCCAACTTCTCCTTTTGAGATGCAATGTAGAAGGCTAAAGAGGATTAAGGGTCTCCTTCCTCACTTGTGCTTGGGTAGTACCTTAAGCAACCCAAGATTCAGCAGGACACTGGGAGAGAGGGAGGCACAGGAATCACACCCAAGGAAAACATCATTAAAAAAGAGAAGACATCTTAAAGACGTGTGAGGAGGCTAGAGGCACAGGAGGCTACATAAAGATCAAGGCCCTCAGTAACTCATGTATAACAAATAATGCTAAGAAGGACTGGGGGCTGAGAAGCAGGCAATTCTTTGTTGTGATGGACACTAGATTTTCAGTTTGAACAGAGGGGGGCGTCTTGCCCTCAGTCTAGCCTCAGTGGTCTGGACCTGCAGCCCTAGCATGACCTGGAACTTGCTAGATTCGCACCCAACCTCCAGGTGCCAACTCTGGGTTGTAGGGTGGCTGGCACTCTGTGTTTCACACAGCCCTCAGGGAAATTCTGATGCTCACCACAATTTTAAAAGGATTAATTCTATTATTCTCTCTACCTTCGTGCATGTTTGAAAATGTAAAAAACAGAAAGGAATGCAGGTCATGGCCTCCTTGATTAATTTCACCCATCATAATGCGTCTGGTTGTAGGTGTCCAGCCCATCTCCAGACCAGTCTTTGGGGGTGGGTCCTGAACTTCATATATTTTAAAAGCCCCTTGGGTAACGGTCATCTGTAACCAAGGAGAACTGTGTTCCTGCAAGGCGTTTTCAAAAGGCAGGTTGTACCCCACTGCTAACTGTTAAAATCAAGTTAGGAGGCCGTGGCTGTGTTTTTTACATTTTTATTATTAATATTTTCAAACATACGCAGAATCAGAGAGAATAGTATTATGAATCCCCGTGTACCCTCACCCAGCTCCAGTTGTCATCAACATTCTGCCCATCTCGTTTCGTCTCTTTCTTTTCTTGTTTCATCCACCCTTTTCTTGCTTCATTTTACTGTTTCCGTTTTTGCTTTTTTGTTTCATCCACTCTTTTCCTGGCTGGCATAAACCAACCCCAGGCAGTGAGCACTTTCGCATTTTGAATAGACAATAGGAAGTCTCCATTAGTCAAACTCACTGTGCCAGAGGGAAAAGTTAACACTTGGGAACTGAGTCATGCCAAAGCTGCCTTCCTCCTCTTCCCAAACAGATAGCTGTAATTTCACATGCTTACTTTATTTTGTGTAAAATGTAGATTGCATAGTTTACTTTTCCTCCACTCCCCTTTTCACATGTAGATTCACTGAGTGCTAATCAAAGCCTCACAAGAATGTAACCACTGGCCTCATTGCCTACCCACCCTTTCTTTCCTTTCTTCCTTCCTCTCCTGCCTACTCTGTCCCCTTTAAGTATTGATGTCCTCAGAACTCTCTTTGGAAAAAGCACAGGCCACAGATCCTACTGTGACTTGTGTTTCTTTCTCCTAGGTGCTCCTTCAACCTTGGTAAAACAAACCTCTAAATCAACTGAGATCTGCCTCCATCACTTTTTTTTTTTTTTGAGATATAGTCTCACTGTTGCCCAGGCTGAAGTGCCATGGTGCGATCTTGGCTGACTGCAGCCTCCACCTCCTGGGTTCAAGTGGTTCTCGTGTCTCAGCCTCCCAAGAGGCTGGGATTACAGGTGCACACCACATCTGGCTAATTGTTGCATTTTTAGTAGAGACGGGTTTCACCATGTTGCCCAGGCTGGTCTCAAACCCCTGACCTCAGGTGACCCGCCTGCCTTGGCCTCTCAAAGTGCTGGGATTAGAGATGTGAGCCACCGTGCCTGGCCCTCCATCACTTTTTGATTTACAACATGTAGCTCTAACTTTAAAGGATCCTTTTTAAATATATATATATAATTTCCATTTATTATATATATAATTTCCATGATAATAAATCATGCCTTGTTATCACCTAATACCTAATTTATATTCAAATTTACCCAATCAACCTATGTTTTTAAAAAATTCAATAGAATAGATTAGAACCTTGTAGAATAGAAAACATCAGAGTGCATTTCCTGCAGTAAGGGTAAGTGTTGTTTTAAAAATCATTTCTATTGCATATGTATCACTGCATATTGTATAGCCATGATGTAAAATACCTTTCTTTGTGCTATGGTCATAAAAAGTCAGCCTCTGTGATGCCCAAGTGACCTCCATCTTCTTCTATAGGTTTTCTCGAGCAAGGCTTAATGGTCAGTGATACTGACAGGCTGTGGCAGCATTACAAGGCGACCATGCAATTCAAGCTGGATGTGTTGTCCCTGGTCCCCACCGACTTGGCTTACTTACAGGTGGGCATGAACTTCCCAGAACTAAGGTTCAACCGCCTACTGAAGTTTGCCCGGCTCTTCGAATTCTTTGACCGCACAGAGACAAGGACCAACTATCCCAATATATTCAGGATTGGGAACTTGGTCTTGTACATTCTCATCATTATCCATTGGAATGCCTGCATCTACTTTGCCATTTCCAAGTTCATTGGTTTTGGGACAGACTCCTGGGTCTACCCAAACATCTCAATCCCAGAGCATGGGCGCCTCTCTAGGAAGTACATTTACAGTCTCTACTGGTCCACCTTGACCCTCACCACCATTGGTGAGACCCCACCCCCTGTCAAAGACGCGGAGTATCTCTTTGTGGTCATAGACTTCTTGGTGGGTGTTCTGATTTTTGCCACCATTGTGGGCAATGTGGGTTCCATGATCTCGAATATGAACGCCTCACGGGCAGAGTTCCAGGCCAAGATTGACTCCATCAAGCAGTACATGCAGTTCCGCAAGGTGACGAAGGACTTGGAGACACGGGTTATCCGTTGGTTTGACTACCTGTGGGCCAACAAGAAGACAGTGGATGAGAAGGAGGTGCTCAAGAGCCTCCCAGACAAGCTGAAGGCTGAGATCGCCATCAATGTGCACCTGGACACACTGAAGAAAGTCCGCATCTTCCAGGACTGCGAGGCGGGGCTGCTGGTGGAGCTGGTGCTAAAGCTGCGGCCCACCGTGTTCAGCCCTGGGGATTATATCTGCAAGAAGGGGGACATTGGGAAGGAGATGTACATCATCAACGAGGGCAAGTTGGCTGTGGTGGCCGACGACGGGGTCACCCAGTTCGTGGTCCTCAGCGACGGCAGCTACTTCGGGGAGATCAGCATCCTGAACATCAAGGGGAGCAAGTCAGGGAACCGCAGGACGGCCAACATCCGCAGCATCGGCTACTCTGACCTGTTCTGCCTCTCAAAGGACGATCTCATGGAGGCCCTCACCGAGTACCCTGAAGCCAAGAAGGCCCTGGAGGAGAAAGGACGGCAGATCCTGATGAAGGATAACCTGATTGATGAGGAGCTGGCCAGGGCAGGGGCAGACCCCAAGGACCTTGAGGAGAAGGTGGAGCAGCTGGGGACCTCCCTGGACATCCTGCAGACTAGGTTTGCACGGCTCCTGGCTGAGTACAACGCCACCCAGATGAAGATGAAGCAGCGTCTCAGCCAACTGGAGAGCCAGATGAAGGGTGGTGGGGACAGCCCCCTGGCTAATGGGGAAGTTCCTGGGGATACTACAAAAACAGAGGACAAACAACAGTGAAAATGCAGCGTCTGTCTCCTGCTTCACGGGATCAGCTGGCAGGGTGATGCTGTGTGGCTGCAGCTGCATGGCATGGAACTTGGTCAGAGTTTAATTCCAGTTCTACTCACTGTTTGAAAGCTGTGTGACTGCCCGAGAGAGCCTCAATTTCTTCACCTAGAAAATGGGACTCTGTCTCAGTCCCAGTGAAGTGCCAGGTTTGATCGTGAGGTTCACATGAAACACTGCAGTAGGCAGGGCTTTGCAAAGTGGGAGGTATCCCCAATCCAAATATATGAAAGTATGCACTCAGGACTCTCAGTACTTTTTTATGGAATCCATAAGGTGTTTTTAGGATTTTTGATCTTATAAATGAAAGATTATTTAGTCACCTTTCTACTCCCCAACTTCACTCCACCACCACCTGATAATGAGTATATAACAGGAAGCTGAAGGTACAACGTAGTGACTCAAATTCAAACTTACACAAGAATCATATTTTCTGAATCTGGGATCACCTCATGTGTTCTTTGGGATCCTAGGAACCCCGGCCTTTGGGAGTGCTATGGCAAATAGAAGTTCTGTAACATGGAAAGAGGCTGCCCCATATGAGGTCACTTCCAATCTATGAAGCAAATTCAGACTCCTTGCCGTCCAGCCACTGTGAAAACAGAATCTGTTTCACAGAAAAGAGCATCTCAGTTAGAAGAGACATCCCTCCTTCTCACTTGCCAAAGAGATTCAAAGACAACCCCTATCCTCCATCCTTGAGTCCGGACCCTGGGTGACCTATTCTAAGTCAAGGAGGAGAGCTATATGCAGGGAGAGCCTTTTAGGTTGAAGGCTGGAATGGTGTCCCAAGCCAAAAACGCTGACAACTAAGACTTTTAGAAGATGAGACTATTTGGCATGTATCTCCGCAAACTGCCCCTTTACCCACGAAGAGGAAGCCTCAAGATCCCTTGGAATTGCATCCCAAGGCAAAGCTTTTAGCTCTCCAAAAGCTTGCAGATTGCAGAAATCAGCTCTTAAAAAAAACAAACCCCAGTAAATATAACTTCATTAACATTTTATAACAGATTTATATTTTTGAGATCTGTGATTGCAAATTATGACCACAATATTCCATCCTTCACTTATGTAACATGTTGCAAATTACCCAAAGATAAGGCTTTCTTCTTTCTCTTTCTTTCCTTCTTTTTTTCTTCCTTCTTTCTTCCTCTTTCTCTCTCCTCTTTTCCTCCTCAAAATGTATATATTTTAAAAGCCTTAACTATTAGTTATGCCTGCATTCATATTGGCACAGGAAAAATAAAGACCTGGATTTAAAAATAGGAATGAGTCTTGCTTCAGCCCTTGCCATAATGGAAGTTTCAGTCCCAGAGTATGTTTCTAGGCAATGACTTCCCTAGAAAGAATAGGTGCTGATGTGGGGGATGGGACAATTCCAAGAAACTGACAATGCCAGGTGCTGTTAAGGACACAAAGCAACAAGTACTCTCATTCATTGCTAGTGGGCATGCAATATGATACAGCCACTTTGGAAGATGATTTGGTCATTTTTGGAAAGTTAGACATACACGTTACCATATGATCCAGCAATCGCACTCCTAGGTATTTACCTAAAAGAATTTGAAACTTTCCAACCCAATCTGCCAAAAAAAAAAAGGAAAGAAAAAACCAAGAATTTGAAACTTATATGTAAATAAAAACATGTATATGAATGTTGGTAGCAGCTTTATTCATCATTAACAAAAGTCTGGAAGCAGCAATGATACCATTCAATAGGTGAATAGATAAATAAAAAGCCAGGCAAAGTGGTGTGTGCCTATAATCCCAGCTACTCAGGAGTCTGAGAAGGAAGAATCATTTGAGCCCAAGAGTTTAAGGACAGCGTAGGCAACCTAGCAAGACTCTGTCTCTAAATAAATAAATAAATTTTTAAAAAATAAAAAAGTAAAACAGTTATATGTCTAAACATTCACCATATAATCAAATACTACTCAGCAATGAAAATGAATGAGCAATTGATCAAGGCAAAAAGATTCCATTTGTATGACATTCTGGAAAAGGCAAATATTAATGATGGAAACTGGCTCAGTGGTTGACAAGGGTGGTTGGGGGGTGTAGAGGCTGATCACGAAGGAGAGCACAGCAGGGAATTTTTAGTGTGATGGAACTGTTTCACACGGTGTTGGGGTGGTGGGTATATGACTGTGTGTTGTCCACACTCACAGAACTGTATACCACAAAGAATAAACTGTAACGTATGAAATTTTAAAATGTCAACCTGAAGGTGGGCATACGGGGGTGGAAAGAAGATTGTGACAAATGAAGCTAACCATATTAGAAGTATGTGACATAACTTTACTGAAGGACATCAGGTAAAATGACGACCTAAGCAACCTTCAAAATGGTGCTTTGATTAGAAAGTAAGGCTAACGACAAAAATGTGACATGAATACTGTACTCTAATTGTACATTTGTTTCACATGGGGGTATGGCTTACTAATTCAGAATTAACATTATACTATGGATGAATGCATGAATTAGTGAATACGTAGATAAATCCCTAAAAAAATGGAAGCCAGATTTATCAATAGTCCAAAAAAAAGTTACAAATAAGACCGCACAAGACAAGAATGAAACCTATAGTACTGGATTGGAATCAGACATTACAATAAACTCATGTTTACCTATATATCCAAGTAGACAGATACAGAAATGATTGTAGGAGAGAGAGAGAGAGTGTGTGTGTGTGTGTGTGTGTGTGTGTGTGCATAGACATATTCCTAACTGTGTACCAAGAAGGCTTGGCAGTGATATCTATTACAGAGAGCACGCCAAATACCCAGATCTTGGTTTCCAAATATCTTTCTCCAATAAAAGGAACTAGGGCTGATTCTAGGGCTGAGGCAGGGAAAATAAACCATAAGCCTGGAGTGTCTTGTAGTGCCAGAAAGTACTCAAAAAATACAATGTTAAGGGGCAAGTGGCAACAGGGCTTTTTACACACACACACACACACACACACACACAAAATGACGGAAGTAAATCAAAGGGACACGGCAAGCAACCTGAAAGAGTTTCCAGTGGCCGAAACTGAAGCCACTTGAGCAACAAAATTTAAAAATGTAGTATTAGACTATATCCCAAAGTATAAAGGTCCATGAGTCTATGTCATAAACAAATGATTGAATAAATAAATTAATGAGAGAGAAAGGACAAATATTTTTTACAGAAGAATTCCAGATAATATTTGTAGATTGTTTCATACTTTCCACTCCAGGATATAAAGCCTTATTTATGGATCTTGCACTCAGAACTGGAGCCAAGGATCCAGCAGCCTCTTCATCGCCAGGAGGGAACATGATGTCAGTATCAACTGATCATGCAGATGGGATTACAGTAAGGATGCTGAAGTGGGAAGGTTATCCTGGGTTTTCCCATGGGGCCTGATATAATCACAGGGCTTCTGATAAGCAGATGAAAGAAGATTAGAGAGAGGAAGTCAATGTGCCAACGAAAGAGTATGTATTATTCTTATGGTAGAAACTTCATTAAGATTTTTGAGATTCTAGAAAAATGGTGGCAGTGGTAGTGGCAGTGTAGTTTTTTGGGCTCTTCAAGTCCTCACATAAAAACACAGCAAATAAGATAGCAAATCTAAAGATCCACAGACAACATCTGACATCCCTGAGAATATGAAAACATCCAAATCACCAACAGGTGCTCGCTGAAAAGCACGGAGAGCCTGTCTGAGAACAACTGGAATTAAGAATTAGGGGGAGTTCTGCAGGGATCTATTTGTGGGTGACAGCAAATGGACAACGACGCAACAAGATTGATGTGCAGGGATACTCTAGGTGCTGCACACTCTAGATGTTCACAGAATAAAGCTTTCTTCTCTATTTGAGAAACATCTATTCAGATCCTTTGCCTATTCTTACATTGAGTTATTTGCTTGCCATTGAGTTGAGTTCCTTATGTATTTTAGATATTAACTCTTATGAATGTATGGTTTGCAAATATTTTCTTCCATTCTGTAGGTCGTCTCTTCACTCTGTTGATTGTTTTCTTGGCTGGGCAGAAGCTTTTTATTTTAATGTAATCCCATTTTTCTATTTTTGCTTCTGTGGTCTGTGTTTTTGAGTTCACATTTTAAAAAATATTTGCCCAGATCAATGTCATGGAGGATTTACTCTATGTTTTCTTCTAGTATGAAAGAAGCTTCCTTCTAAGACAAAACCGTTCACTGTGAAGACAATTCAGGGTAAAATCCAGATCGATCACAGGACAAAAACAGTGGTGACAAAAGAAAGAGAAAGTTTAGACAAAAGAGGGCAGAGAAGCAGAGGAGGTACCACTAGTCCAAATATATTTTTATCACTTTGAGAAAACAGCTGAAAAGAGAATTCGAGAACTGTGAAGTTAGAAAAGGGTAAATCACGTTCCGTCTCCTCTCTCTAAAGTATAAGCACATTCAACTCACTCAGAAGATGAACAGCAGAAAAGATGCACAGTCAAATTTTATGCAAAGTCTTTTTGAAAAAGAGAGCGAGGAAGAATCAGATGGAGTATAATGTCTCTACAGATAATGAAATCCACCAGAAGGACACGCCCACAGAACAGATGTAAATTGGCCCATCATTTCAAAACCAGCCAGAGGAAATTAAGAGAATGATAGATGCTCTTAAAAAACAGCATAAATCAGAATCAAGGATAAGGTGATTGAGGAAAAGAAAGATTTGACAAGAGCTGTAACAGAACTCAGGAAAGTACTGAAAATGAACAAAAAATACTTTGAAAATAAAGACTGATTAAAAGGAGCACAAGAACAAATAAACATAGCAATGTTTTAAGAGAAATAAAAGATAGAAAGGAATAACATCTTAAAACTCAGAAAAAGATGTTCCAAATATGGCATCCTAGAAAAGATAAAACTATAGAAAAAAAAAAGAAAGAAAAAATAAGATAGTAAAAAAAAAAATAAGAAAAAAAAGAAAAGATCAGTGGTTGCCGGGGGTTGGAGGGATAGAAGGATGAACAGGTGGAGCAAAAGGAATTTTTAGGGCAGCGAAAGTACTCTGTATGATACTGTAATGGTAAATACATGTTGCTACACATTTGTCAAAACCCACAGCATGTACAACACCAAGAGTGAACACCAATGTAAACTATGGACTTCAGGAGATAATGTGTCAGTGTAGTCACCTATCACAGCAAATGCACCTTTGATAGTGGGAGAGAATATGCAGTATGTTGCAGGTATATGGGAATTTTGCTGTGAACCTTAAACTTCTCTTAAAATGCTTTTTTTTTTGAGTTCTTTTTTTTAATAATTTTTTTATTGCATTTTAGGTTTGGGGGTACATGTGCAGAACAAGCAACACAGTTGCATAGGTACACACATGGCAGTGTGTTTTGCTTCCTTTCTCCCATTCACCCACATTTGGCATTTCTCCCCAGGCTATTCCTCCCCACCACCCCCTCCCGCTGGCCCTCCCCTTTTCCCCTAAATAGACCCCAGTGTTTAGTACTCCCCTCCCTGTGTCCATGTGTTCTCATTTTTCATCACCCGCCTATGAGTGAGAATATGCGGTGTTTCATTTTCTGTTCTTGTGTCAGTTTGCTGAGGATGATGTTCTCCAGATTCATCCATGTCCCTACAAACGACACAAACTCATCATTTCTGATTGCTGCATAATATTCCATGGTGTATATGTGCCACATTTTTCCAATCCAGTCTATCATCAATGGGCATTTGGGTTGATTCCAGGTCTTTGCTATTGTAAACAGTGCTGCAATGAACATTTGTGTGCATGTGTCCTTATTAGAACGATTTATAGTCCTTTGGATATATACCCAGTAACGGGATTGCTGGGTCAAATGGAATTTCTATTTCTAAGGCCTTGAGGAATCGCCACACTGTCTTCCACAATGGTTGAACTAATTTACACTCCCACCAACAGCGTAAAAGTTTTTTTTCTCCACATCCTCTCCAGCATCTGTTGTCTCCAGATTTTTTAATGATCGCCATTCTAACTGGCGTGAGATGGTATCTCAATGTGGTTTTGATTTGCATCTCTCTGATGACCAGTGACGATGAGCATTTTTCATATGATTGTTGGCCTCATATATGTCTTCTTTCGTAAAGTGTCTGTTCATATTCTTTGCCCAATTTTGAATGGGTTTGTTTGTTTTTTTCCTGTAAATCTGTTTGAGTTCTTTGTAGATTCTGTATATCAGCCCTTTGTCAGATGGGTAAACTGCAAACATTTTTTCCCGTTCTGTTGGTTGCCGATCCACTCTAGTGACTGTTTCTTTTGTGTGC